GGTTTTGCCCTTCCAACCTCTTTCACTAACTTTCAACCATGTCAACTATTATGTGGATATGCCTGCAGTAAGTGTTATCCTTGCTATGAAATCTAGATGCTTTTCATTCGCAAGCAACATAAAATCGTCTGATTATGACTTACCACCAAGAGTTCTAGATAGACTTGCTCTAGAAAATATAGGCAAATAAAGCCCACATAAGCATGTCAGAAATGAGTTCTGGTGGGAAGTATGCCAGAGGCAGACATGCTCATCTGTGTTTCCCATACATTAAATAAACCTAAGATCTGTTACTTGGTAAAATATCTTTACTTGCAGCTTCAAAACTGTGTTTCTGTTTTCAGGAAATGAAGAGCCAAGGAGTTGAGGAGAGCAGGTTGCATTTGTTGAAAGATGTGAGTGGTGCATTTAGGCCAGGAGTTTTAACGGCGCTAGTTGGAGTGAGTGGTGCCGGCAAGACCACCTTGATGGATGTTTTAGCAGGAAGAAAGACAGGAGGATATATTGAGGGAGACATAAGCATTTCTGGTTATCCTAAGAACCAAGCAACATTTGCTCGAATTAGTGGCTACTGTGAACAGAATGATATCCATTCTCCATATGTTACCGTCTATGAATCTCTTCTGTATTCTGCCTGGCTACGCCTTTCTTCAGATGTTGACAAGGAAACACGCAAGGTACTTCAGTTGTTCATATGGCCATGATCTTAAGTTCTGTACGCTGTTTGATCACATTTGATAACTATCAATGGTAACTTGTGAAAGCTGACTGTAGCTTTTTTTCACTTTTGGAATAGATGTTTGTGGAGGAAGTTATGGAACTCGTTGAACTGAACAACATAAGGAATGCTCTAGTAGGGCTTCCCGGAGTGGGTGGACTTTCTACTGAGCAGAGGAAGAGGTTGACCATTGCAGTGGAATTGGTTGCAAATCCCTCAATCATCTTTATGGATGAACCTACTTCAGGACTCGATGCTAGAGCCGCTGCAATTGTTATGCGAACTGTAAGGAACACAGTCGATACAGGGAGAACTGTTGTTTGCACCATTCATCAACCAAGCATTGACATTTTTGAAGCTTTTGATGAGGTACGAACAATATATTGGGGCTCTAATGTATGATGTAGATAAACAAGAAGATTATCCATGTTCATTTTTTGCTGTCTATTTCACTTTGCAGCTCTTTTTGCTGAAAAGAGGAGGACAAGTGACTTATGCTGGGCCTCTCGGTCAGCAGTCTCACAAGCTTGTTGAGTATTTTGAGGTCCGTCATTTCCTACTTCTGTACAACAATGACCAGTTCAATTGCTAAACTTGCATATTGATTAAGTATTGGTTATGTGCTTAAGCTTGTTCGTGAGTAGAACTTAGGCTAATTAACAGAGCTTCTTTAACAGGCTGTTCCAGGAGTTCCAAAGATTAAAGATGGTTACAATCCTGCAACATGGATGTTGGAGGTTAGCACTACTGGAGTTGAAACTCAACTTGGTATTGATTTTGCTGAAATTTATGCCAACTCGGAGCTCTATAAGTGAGTATATGTTCAACAAATTACGTTAATCTTTATTCTTTTGAATATATCTGAACTATGAGTACCATGCCAATTTTGTCAGGCGAAATCAAGAGCTTATAAGGCAGTTAAGCACGCCAGCACCGGGTTCTCAGGATCTATATTTCCCTACCAAATACTCTCAGAATTTCTTTATTCAATGTCAGGCTTGTTTCTGGAAACAACATTGGTCGTACTGGAGGAACTCTGAATTTAATGCCATCCGATTCGCCATGGCAATTTTCATCGGCCTTGTGTTTGGAATAATATTTTGGAACAAGGGAGACAAAGTGTGAGTAAAACGCACAAAAGTCCGGGTCAGTTTCTGTTGTTCCTTGATTCGAATCCCCTTAACCATTTTGTTTATGATTTAAATGCAGACAAGAACAACAAGATCTGAATAATTTACTCGGAGCAATATATGCGGCTATTCTCTTCCTCGGTGCTGCCAATTGTTCTTCTGTGCAGCCAGTTGTGTCGATCGAGAGAACCGTCTTCTACCGTGAAAGAGCAGCCGGGATGTATTCAGAACTACCCTACGCGTTAGCGCAGGTGAGCGATTAATTCAGATAAAAAAATTTTGTGGCAATCGCAAGAAATAATAAAGTAGCTTGATCGTGAATGCAAAATTAAGCTTTCGGTGATTACAGGTAGCTATTGAGATGGTTTATACGGTGTTTCAAAGCATAGTGTACGGTCTTATTATTTACGCAATGATCGGATTCAAATGGGAGGCGGGCAAGTTCTTCTATTTCTACTACTTCGTGTTCATGTGCCTCACCTACTTCTCCTTGTTCGGCATGATGGTCGTTGCCTTGACTCCTGGCCTCCAAATCGCAGCCATTCTCATGTCCTTCTTGTTTAATTTCTGGAACTTGTTCTCAGGATTTATGATCCCCAGGCCGGTATGCTTTTTTTCCCATATTCATCCTGCTTGCCATATTTCTTTTCTGATGCTTTGTTAATCAACAAGCGGTACGAGCAGAAGTGAAATTAAGCTATAATTCAAAAAGAGGTGAAGAAGGTAAAGAAGGCGCAGTGAGAATGACATGATTCAATAGTACCACTTGAACATACTTTCTAGCATTTTTGGCATCTAATTTATACTCCATCTATTCAGAATATAAGCTAAACTTTATGAGAGAGTCTTTTACTTATTCTCGAAGAACATATTTAAGAAAAAAATTACATGCATTACATATTTATATTTACTGTTTTAAATTGATTTTAACTAATTTTTAGATAAACTTAAAGAAAAATAGTAAATAGAAAAATTACACATAAGGATTGGTTTATAAAAATTATTGACAAAACTCATACTAATATTATCATAGATTTTTATTTATATTTTTTTTTTATTTCAGCGATATTGTTTTGTCACTTTTCCTAAACCTAACAGGATAAAATTTTTCTTGTATTTTGAAACTAATAGAATATTTCCCGGTGTCTGCCTGTTCCAACCCATAGGACTTTGCAGCAAAGTGCAAAGCACACTAACCAGCAAGGCTTGCTGGTTTAATTTAACAGGATTGTCATTAATAGAATTGGACTGTTGTGAAATGCAGATGATTCCGATATGGTGGAGATGGTACTATTGGGGTTCTCCAATTGCTTGGACAATCTACGGTGTATTTGCATCGCAGTTTAGTGATATGGATACCCCAGTTCATATACCTGGTCAAAAAGATCAAGCATTAAATGCTTACCTTGAAGAAAATCTGGGTTTCAAGCATGACTTTCTGGCACCATTAGTTTTTGGTCATATCGGTTGGGTCGTCTTATTCGTTCTAGTATTTGCCGGCTCCATCAAATACCTCAACTTTCTCAAGAGATGAGAATCTTCATGGATTTTGGTATCTCTTTATCTGGTTTTTATGTATGAATCCATACCATAGCTTTGTGTGCCTCCCCCACTTCCCTGTTATGTATATTTTAAACACGACAAATGTTTATTAATTCATTGTAACATACATCATATATTTTGTAGTTTACATCGTCTGAAAAAATATGAGTTTATAATTAGTTTCCATATATTTCCAAATCTCTCATTTTACTTTAAAAAACATAATTAAAATTTATGTCGAGTCTCTCTCTCTCTCTCTTCTTTTGGCAACAGTGAAAATGTATAATTAGTTATATTTAATCAAATATTAAACAACTCAACATAACTAGTTTAATGTAGGCATCTGAGCAATTTTGTCCACAGCTTTCTCGTGTATCTTCGTGTTAATCAAAAAGGGCCCAACGGAAACAGAAAAAACGGATTCTAACTTTGTAACTGTCCTCACCAACACAACTCTTTAGAATCCTAGCCATCAAGCGGACACACGGCGGCCCTAGTGGGCCTAATCCAGTCAAAATTTATAGGGTCCAAAGTTTTGGACTATTCCCAACAATTATGTCCAGCGTAATGAGTTAGTACCTGTGCCTAGCAAAAAAACAAAATCTGTTTGATTAATTACTAAAACAACAACCGGTGGTCAGAGTTAGGATTTTGCAACGCCAGAATAATATTCTGAAACAACAGCACTGATTTCCAAGGATCATATATCAGCCTGAAATTTGTGTGCCACGCACTGTCCCTACCAACGTCCTCGGCTTTTTCTGTATCTACTTGTTAGAGAAACTTAAATGATAACTATGCACGAGCTTTCGCACGTCTGTTCATTATCAAACGGGAATTGACGAGAATGGAACAAAGTAAAAGTGGGAAACAGTTTTGTTGGTAACTTTCTTGTAAAGCCAAGGTGTAAGGGTATATACAACTTTTGAGCATTATGAGAATGTCATAAAAGCAAACAAGCTAGCCTTAGCTGCTTCCAATCTCTCCTACTCTGTCTTGTTCACCAAGGCTCTCCCCCACATTCATTCCCATATGCTTTATGTGGTTGAGCCCTTTCTGTCCACTCCAAGACCCAAACTTATGCCTCAAGCACCTTTCCAACTCCAAGAAACCTTTCTTTTTTCCTTTGTTTTTATTTATGATTTCCCTGTTCACTTTCAAACTACTTTATGCAGAAGCATGCTATTTCTAAATAGGAAATTGGGATGGAAATGCTGAGACGAGGATCTGATTCGCTGGAGTTACAGGGTGCGAAATTCTGGCCTTTTTATTATGTAATGTAACTGTAGCTACACATGACAAAAACCAATTCATGCTCCTGGTGGGAAGAAGTAGTTGGCACAATTTGCCAATATACCAACTCAAGAAAATAGCTACCTAACCAATTTGCAGACACTCCAGCATACAAATTAATACAATATACACGAGCCAGGAGTATAACTAGAGTTGAAGGATTTAAAGTTTAAACATAATATCATTATAAATTCGAAATCAAGATCCTGATGATGGGGTCAGCCTAGTGGGCTTCTCAGGAAAGGCGAGTACTTTTTTGCTCGTTGTAGAAGAAAAATTTACCCTTATAACTACATTAAGGATAAAGGAATAGGCATTTCTGTCATTTCGGCTCATTATACGGATCTGTTAATAAAATAAGCTGGTGGTTTCATGGCTTCAAAGCGAGTCTTTGTTTATAACCACCCGAGGTAAGGCAGAGAAAGAGAGCCATCATTCCAAAGAGGAAAAAGGGAAAAGAAGAGAGAAAACTGGTAAGCAATAGCTGCAATTAATGGCCACACCAAAACAGCTATATGAACAGCAGCAGAGAGTGAAGAACTCGGGAATCATTAGCTCAAACCAGAGCCCAATACGAGATGACAAGGAAGAGGAGATGGCAAGGTCAGCTCTGGCCATGTTCCGGGCCAAGGAAGAAGAAATCGAGAGGAAGAAAATGGAGGTAAGGGACAAGGTTCACGCTCATCTGGGTCGTGTCGAGGAGCAAACAAAGCGGTTAGCCGAGATTAGAGAAGTAAGTTCATCATACTAACCCACCCATTCTTCCACATATTTTATTTGCTTTGTGTTTGTGTGAATCTATGAAACTGCAAGTTCACTACATTCTAAGTCTGGGGAAGAAATTAAAGGCATGTTCATTTGGTCAGAGGATGTGCAGAAATATGAAGGCAGTTTGTATAGTTTAGATAATTAGTTCGCATTCAAAATCATTGATTTTAACCGAAACATAAATGACCACGTTATTGAAGAACTGCGAATCGTGTTGTAGGAGCTTGAGGGTATCACAGATCCAATGAGAAAAGATGTCACAGTAGTTCGAAAGAAGATAGACACAGTGAACAAAGAGTTAAAGCCACTGGGCCAAACCTGCCAGAGAAAGGTTTTCTTTTTTACCTGTTTTCTTACCGTTTGCTTCTTGTTATTTGCTTTTGTCATTTCTATAAAGCCTTTATGCCAAAGGAGCCACCGAAATGGCATTTGCCGAAGAAGAGGAAGGCAAACTGGCAAAGTAAAACGGCGATTTGTTGTAATTACACAGCTTTTGATACAACCACCTAATCACTGCTTAATATCTCATGATTCATCAATTGACCTCATTCGCTTTAGTTGGCCCCATGTTGTCTCATCGGCTGAGAGGCAAGTGGATATATGATCATCATACCAGTAGTTATGGTGATCATTCATAATAATTGTGTCAGAATTTCCACGTAGAAAAATATAGGATAGTCTCAAGCGGGAAATTTCAAGTTACTTATAGAAGCTTCTTTGCCCTAATGATAAGCACAAGGAAAATATAACAGTAGGCATTAAGTTTTCTGAAACATTTTTCTCTTTGTGGGGTTGGGGGGAGTTTACAGGAGAGAGAGTATAAAGAAGCCCTCGAAGCTTTCAATGAGAAGAACAGAGAGAAGGCTCAACTTGTTTCCAGATTAATGGAGGTTAGGAATATTTATTTTATTCCATTTCATTTATTTTGCCTGCTCAAAGACTTAATCTACTTACTGGCTTTCTGTGTTTTGATTTTTGATGCTAGCTGGTGGCTGAAAGTGAGAAGCTGAGGATGAAGAAGCTGGAGGAGCTAAGCAAGAACATAGAAATCCTGCGCTGAGATGCCAATAATATATGTAACCCCGTTGGATTGAGTGTGTTGTGACTAGAATAATAAGTTCTTTTTCCCCCAAATTGAATGTTGATACTTGATACGAATTTTATGCGATTTTTGTTTTGTATTAATTTCATTGACTGAATTAGTGAAAGAATATGTGAATTATACCAGTCGATGTACTGAGATGTGCTGCATCAATCATCAAATTCAAATCCAATATTGTGAAAACTCTTTTACAACTAAAGCCCTGTATCAAACTTACCTAATTCATCATATACTTTTCATTTCAAATTTGCAGTTGTTGAAGAAGGTCACCCTATACATTTTTTTTCCTTTTATATTGGACATTCATGATTAATTTCCCCTTTGCCTGTTGTTAATTTCTCATTATGTTCATGATAAGAGCTCCGTTATTTAAAGCAATTTCCACATTAAAAAAATGATGTCAATTTACTATTTATCATATTCACCTGTCTGCTGGCTCAAATATTGTTTAAGCTCGAAAATCTAATTAACCCATTTCATAGGCCCCAATAAATAGATTTTACCCATGGTTATGAGTAAAATGTGTGGATTAAAATTGAGGGAGAGGAAAAAAAAATAAATTTATGATAAAGTCAGATGACTCTTTTTTTTTTAAATTAATACTAATACAACAAAGTTTGCAGATAGTCGGACTTTTTAAAAATTGAATGGACTTACTTTTTCAATCCTAAATATAATACCCTTATACTAATGTATATAAAGATTTTATATTTAACATCAGAGGAGTATCCTAATTACATTGACTTATTTGAGGAGATTATAAGTTAAGTTAGTTATTGTAATAAAGTCATTCTTAAATATCCTTGCTAATTAAATGTATAGAACTATCATTATTAGAAGGACTATCTTGAATGCATAAATATAATAAACAAAATGATTGGAGTATAATTAGGACCAACAAACAAATGGGGTCTTATATTAGTAGTACTAGTTTTACGTATGAACAATGTCTATTTCCTTTATAGAAAAACAAATTTCACTTCATGTCTTCGTTAATAAACATTATTAACTCATTACCATGATGAGATTTTTTTTTCATCTCCATTACTACGTTGAGATTAAACCATATAAATTTAAGATGAATAAAAAATATTTGAAGTTTCTAATTTTCTTTTCTAGATAAATTTATTTTCAAGAAAGATAATAGTTGGGGGGAAAAAACTCAATGCCCATCAGTCACAGATAAAGGTCCACGGAAAGCAGCAAGCACTCAGCCCAAAATATGTAAAACCCGGGCTATGGATTACTACTAGTCCAGAACCAATGGCCCTATATCGGCAATAGTTTGGGCATTGTGGGGTTTCAGATATTTCGAGAATAGGGACCGAAGGCACAACGAGTCAACGACGATGGACGACTCCGAGGCGTTCGGAAATTCTAACCCCGGCGATGGAGCAAAAGCAAAGCCGAAGGTGATTGTGATAATGGGTCCCACTGGCTCTGGGAAGTCCAAGCTCGCCATTGATCTGGCTTCTCACTTTCCGGTCGAAGCTATAAACGCTGATTCCATGCAGGTTTACCGAGGCCTGGATGTTCTCACGAACAAAGTTCCACTCTCGGACCAGAAGGGTATATAATGTGCTTCTTCATAATTTCCTGAATTCTTTTGGTTTCTCAAACTGAATTTTGTGCTGTAGGGGTGCCTCACCATCTTCTGGGTACTATAAGTCCAAACGTGGAATTCACAGCTAAAGACTTTCGAGATTCCGCTATCCCTGTGAGTTGTTTTTTTTTTTTTTTTTCAGCGTTCTTTTTTGCCTAGAAAGCCTTTAAGTTGCAACAGTTGGTGCGAAGCTAGAGAACTTGAGGCTTTCTTCTTTTCTAAGAAATGTTTTGAATTAGTATGGTGAGAAGTGCTACGTTTATTTTGACTATGGCTTCTTGGCAGTGTCTGATTTTAAATGTTTCTGGCTTTTGTCTTGTACGTTCCCGTTGGTGGTTGCATTTATGATTTTTTTTTTTGGGGGGGGGGTTTAGGTATTGTTTAATTTTAATGCTGCAGCAGAGAATTCCTTTGTCATTCTTAACACTTCTTTTCTTAATTTTCAGCTCATCAATGACATATCTGCTCGCAACTGCTTGCCTGTCATAGTTGGGGGTACGAATTATTTCATCCAGGTGGGAATTGTGATAATTGCTGCTAGGAATTGTGCCTTTAATGTTCTTCATTTCTGGAAAGTTTTATGATATCCTTATGTTGCATTCTTTTTCAGATTGGTTGTATGTAGACAAAGTTGATGAGTTCTGTGTTACTTTTTTGGTTAATCTTGTTTCTTATCTTGTTTAGGCTCTCGTGAGTCCATTCCTTCTAGATGAGTCAGTTGAAGATATGGATGAACCCTGCCTGGACAACCTTTCTGGTAAGTTGCAATTCAGTGATTTAAAATGTTTGTCTAATAAGTCGATTATTTCACGTATGCTTATCATCTGTTTCATTTGCAGGTAATACACAGTTGGATAAGAGTTTCATCCCTGAAAAGGAAAATTCAAACAATAATTATGATTTGCTTAAAGATATTGATCCAGTTGCAGCAAATAGAATGCATCCAAATAACCATAGAAAGGTATCTGATTCAATTGCATTATTCTAAGTTATTCTTTAAATCTCTTTTCTTTTCTTTCTTCCTGCGAAATTCATGTTTACAGTCAAAGTCATGGAAACTTTGGTGTTCTGAAACTTCATTAAAAGAACTATCCAGTTTGATTTGTTGCTGAATTTGTTATGTGAGTTGTTTAAAGTGAGGCTGGTATGGTTATACGTATTTCTCTTTTTATTTGCAGATTAGTCAATACCTTAGTTTGTATGCTCGCACTGGAGTTCTCCCAAGCAAAATTTTCCAAGGAAAAGCAGCGGAGGTTTGTCGACTTCTTTGACTCCTATTTATTGATCACATTTCCTAACCAATCACTATTCCCTTGATGAAGAATTTACCTTCATGTGTGAAAAGAAAATTGACTTATCCATAATGTACTAGCCCGAATTTTGGATTTTCTAGTCCTCATCATTGTTGTGTCATGGTTTTTATCTGGTCCTTTTACCAAAAACAAAAAACGAAAAATACAAAAGAAGTCTGTCTTGTTCCCCCTCTATCATATATATATCTGGTATTTTTTTGGGCCAAAGTATACATTTGGTATTGACATCAATAGAATCAATGACAAACTTATAAATATAAATCAAGGACATTTGTTTTCTGCTTTTCTTATGTCTTATGGCAATGTATGTATTCTGTTTCTTTGTCTATGGTATTGACATCAATAGAATCAATGACACTTATAAATATAAATCAAGGACATTTGTTTTCTACTTTTCTTATGTCTTATGGCAATGTATGTATTCTGTTTCTTTGTCTATGTTCTTACAACTAATGCTGGTCCTGCTTGTGCCAGGGCAGAAGTGGGGTCAAGTTGGTAACTCGAGATATGATTGCTGTTTTATATGTGTGGATGCAACCCTTCCTGTACTGGACAGATACGTAGAACAGAGGGTAGATTGCATGATAGATGCTGGATTACTTAATGAAGTCTATGACATTTACAATCCAAATGCTGATTATAGTCGAGGTTTGCGGCAGGCCATTGGTGTCCGTGAATTTGAACCTCTTCTGAAAACCCTTGTAATTGATGAAATCTACAAAAGTAAGAAAGAATTGACTGAGGATTTCAGGAGAGAAAAGGGCGATAAATTGTGTAATGATGATCTGAGGGAGCTCTTGAAGTTGTCTTCTGACTCGAAATCCATCACACTTATGGAAGAAGCAATTGAAAAAGTAAAGGTTAACACACGGAGACTAGTCCGCCGTCAGGTTAGAATAACACCCCCCCTATCTCTCTCTCATACACACACAACTCCTTTCAACTTGCATTCTTGGTAAAAAAGTTACTAAAGACCACACGAAATTGAAGAGAACTTATCCCTTGCCTTATCATTGACTCGAGTGAAACAAGTGCACAAGTAATGCCAGAGATTGATATGAAAGTTTTGTTCATACAGAAGAGGATGCTTAATCGACTGCAAAAATTGTTTGATTGGACTATACACTACGTGGATTCGACAGAATCATTATCAAGTATGCTGTCTCAGTCCCTTTACATTTCAGTGTATATTGTCAATAAATAATGTTAACGAGCTAATTTAGTGGATTATGCTTTCATTTCTGTGTTCTATTTTTCAGGTAAATCAGATGATGTATGGACTGTCCAAGTGGTAGAACAGACGGTGAAGATCGTTAGATCTTTCCTTGGTGATAATGAGAGCTTGTCATCCACGTCTGGGACATTAAATAGCAGTGGGATGAAGTTATTTCAAAGGGACCTCTGGACTCAATACGTGTGCAAGGTATGCTAGGTTTTAGAATCCACCTGTCTGCTGCGAAGACAAAGTCAAATGTTTTGATTTTGATCATGATGCTTTTCTTTCTTTTTTTCCCGGCGGCCTTCCTTTGATCAGGCCTGTGGAGATAGGGTGCTTAGAGGAATACATGAATGGGAACAACACAAAAAGGGTCGTGGACACCGGAAACGTATTTCTAGTCTCAAGAACAAATCACAAGGTCCCTGTTTGGTGGAACAACAGCCGAAACATTAGTTTGCAACTTGTGTGTGTGTGTGTTATTTACTGCTGATTCCTTTCCATCACATTTACGTGAATGCTGTGGCCAGCGCTCGATTACATAACTTTCTAAAATGTTTGCTTAGTTCTTGGCTCTTACTCCTTAATATAAGGTGTTTTAAATCTTGACAAAATTCCCTTTCTTTGGAATCATTTAAGGTAAAACTAAAAAGTGTGTATGTTTTATGCCAAAAAAACTCAAAAGTACATTAATTTAACGATATTTATTGAATGTGGGTAATTTTGGATAAGATGGTAAGCCAATACAAGTCATTTTTAATAATTTAAGCAAATTAAGAAAGTTGTGGAGTTTCTGCTTGTTGCCACGAACTCCATCACAAGCTTCCACGTAATTAACCAGGCTGCCATGGATTTCGTTGCCCTTACCCACACACGAAGGGCTCCGTTAATTGCTGCTCTGCTATAACATTAGCATTCACTAATCCACGCTGGCAAATACTGCCTCAATCTTGCGACTACGGTTCCATTCGATCGGTGATCAAAAGCTCTAGAACAAGGTACAATAACTAGTTCGAAGGCTATATTTATGAGTATATCGTGGAATTGCGGAATGTATTAAGATCTGGCAAACCAAGTCAAGCTCTGATGTGCCAAGTGCCGACCGACGTTCCACCTTCCAATTTCTCGCCCGAAAAAAAAAAAAACGACGTTACCATGAATCTAACGATCGTTAGTGCGAGGCATCAGCGGGAGACTGACTTGATTCGCACTCGCACGCACTGCTGAATTCTCTTCTGCTTTTGCCGATGCTGTCCTGCAAATCCTGGCATCGTTTTTTTTTTTTTTTCCTGCCAACCAAAGCTTGCAGATAAAATACACGCACACTTCCTAGAGTCAGACAGTTACGCATTTTTGTAGTTTTACTTTTATCCTCCTCCTGCCTTTCCGCTCTGCTACTGCATATATCTATATGGTTGCATAAATTCAGATGCTGCTCGCGACATTTGTACTGAAATTTTTTTTTTTTTGAAGAGTTGTATAATACCATTGCTGCATGATTCTAGACCTGCTCTCTCATATGTGACTTTTACGAGCTTCATCTTCCCATAGGATCCCCCCCCCTTTTTTTTGATAAAAAGAACGTGGCCGAAGGAAGTTTAGTGGGAGAGGTCAGAGGAGCCGTGCTGTGCCCACAAAAGCTGAGAAGCATCCGCATTGATGGAGGGATTGATGAGAGCAAATTTGGACGCAAACTTCGAAGCGTGTACGTATATGTCAGAAATGTATGAACTTAAAGCAAAGCAACTGCGATATTGGTGCCTTTTTGTCCGGCTTTTTTCTTTCCTCTTGAAATTCCCCAACCAGGAACCCACCTCCTCTACCCTGCAGGACGACATAGGTATTGGCACTGCAATGCAGTGGCATCTTCCTGTAGCTCCCATCTTCCACACCATTTTTAATGCGTATGAGTCACCTGAAAAACAATTAAAACAGTTCAATTTATTTGAATTAAAACTTTGATCAAACCCTAATTAATTACCTGAAATATACTTTCTTTCTTCTCATGGGAAAACTTAACTGTGTATAGATGATTTGTGTTTTGAGTCAACTCAACTACAGATCTCTCGACTTGAATTGCTTTCCCCTTTCAACTTTATTTATACTTTCCTCTCCTTCCTTCCCTGGCGAGAGTCGCGGTAAAAAAGGTTGAGTCAATAAATACCACTCACCCCAAACGACTCTTTTATGGACTGCCTAAATTACAAATGGACAAAAGCCTGTCAAAGTTGGGGAAGGTAGAGATGATGAAAAGTGGGGAATTTTGAACGAATGATTCAAACAATTATTCGGCAGATAATAGTTGGCACTCAATGTAACATGTCGGAGAGATATAAAAGTTGCCCATTATTATTTGATTAAACGCAGCATCAGAGGCGATTGAGACTGCCAGGATTGAGGATTCAGGAGTGATCAAGATTTTTCCCCCTTTCCCTCTCCCTATTTCTTTTTCAAAGATAAATAATTCCAACAGTACTTCGTTGATAGATTGCCCGGACTTACTATTCAAATATGCTCAGCAAAAACATATCATTTCACTGACCATCCCATCACGTGCGCCATATTCAAGCTGCGCCAAATTAACAAATAGTAATAAAATATGAGAAAATCTAGTTAACGAGATCGATCACTCGATATCGATCATATACACAATCTCGTGATCAACATATATTGGGTTCATAAACCGAAGTCAGACCTGGACTCAGATCCAAAGTGCTCGTCAAAGAGATATAGATATACGAGTGCCCAACATGTGATCCAATGTATGAAGAGGGGAATAATAACGAGCGATGGTGGTGCACATGGGCAAGGACATGGAGAAAAGTCCAGGCAGAAAACAGGCTCTGCCATGTCATCATAATGCTTTCTGAGAGGCCAACTCATAAACTCAAACTTCTATGCGAATATAACACCAAATAATTAGGACCCCATCCTCTGTGCCAAGACAATGGCACGAGACAACTCTCACGGTGGCATTCAGAGAAGAAGTTGCTCTCTGGTGGGTCTATGCCTCCAAGAAATTGTACCTTTTCAAAGATTCAGCCGTGGATGCTGTCTCCCAAAACAGCTTTTCCTGTTTTGTTACCGCCAAAAGGGCGGTGATTAACAGTGCGCTGGTACAGTCTCACAAGGTTGACGCGCACTTTATAAATTGAAGTGCCGTTCTCAGGTTCTGGTATAGCTCATAATCAATCAGTCTGAGACATGGGAGAGGGAGAGTTCAAGCATTTAGTTGTTGTCAAGTTCAAGGAAGGTGTGGTCGTTCAGGATCTCATCAAAGGGATGGAGAAGATGGTGTCAGAGATTGACACTGTCAGGTCCTTTGAATGGTAAGAACTGAGAGGCATCTCTTCTCTGTTTCTCTCTGTTTAGTACTTAGAAGGAGCGTGCATCCTATGTATAAATATTTATGGGTTGTGGTTTTTGTGCGAAACAACAGGGGACAGGACATTGAAAGCCTAGATATACTAAGACAAGGTTTCACGCATGCCTTCCTGATGACATTCAACAAGAAGGAAGAGTTCGTTGCGTTTCAGGGCCACCCAAGTCATGTGGAGTTCTCAACAGCGTTTTCAGCTGCTATTGAGAAGATCGTGGTGCTGGATTTCCCAGCTACTCTGGTGAAATCACCAGCTTGATCCATCATATCTCAACATCCTCTGCTCAACCTATCCACAAGATTCCATCTTTAAAGCTACATATGTATCTGCTTGTCGTCATCTCTTGTATTTTTATGGATCCGTCCGTCCCAAGTGTTTCTCTTGTCTCGGACTTGTAGTATGCATGGCTTATGAACTATAAACTGCTTTGGCCATCTCTTTAATGAATATTTTCCCATCCACAACGTTTTTCAGGTGTTTCAGGCCCCTCCCTCTCGCGAGTTAATAAACAGAAGAGAAAGAGACGGGAGAGTAAGAGAGAATTTGGAACTCCAGAAGGGATTTCTCTTTTTACTTTTTATACAATAAAGTGATAATATTATTCAGCTAAAAAAAAGGTGATAACATTAAGAGATCATGATACACACAGTATTTTAATTTTTGCCCGTCCGGTTTTTTCAGAAGCTGCATTAAGAATCTCCTATAACATCCTCAATTTAAAGCCTTCTAGTGCCGCTTCAGGGAACGCAGCGGTATTTTGGCTATGAAGGCTTTGTGCTGTTAATTTCTGTACGGATCTTCAATGAAACGTTAAGTACTTCTGTATGAAATCTGATAATGCAATTTAACCGAAAAAAGGAGACAAATGAGTAATCAGTTTCATAAATTGAAAAAAATAATATCAAGCCATTTATTGAATGAAAGGCTCAGGCACCGATACATGGTAAAAGCTTTATCTATAGACTAAGGAAAATGAAGAAAGGAAAGGAAAAGACTTAAATGAGTTGGGTTCCAAGCATGAGTTAGTCAATTATTAAAATTTTCTCGACCCAGGAGTAATTCGAACCGATGGGCGATGGGCTTTTGGATATCATGGTTACGAAGCAAGCCAACACTTATCGATGAGTTGAAGCATTGTTGCCATGGGCTTTGTCACGGTTTTTAATTTCCCCGAGATTGGGCTTTAATCTTCTCCCGTTCACTCAAATGACCGTAGGCCCAGCCCACTTTAATCATAGCCCGACCCTTTTTGTAACGCAATGCATTCACTCACTAGTTTGATGCCCCATCAATGTATCACGAAAAGTGAATCGTGCCTTTTTGCCCAGTCGTGTATCATTAATTTGGATTACAGCTGTAAAAATTTTTTAAAAAATATAAAGCAAAATAATATATTATGAGCACAATTTCCTCCGTTCCTTTCATTTTACGACGAATGAAAATTGAGCAAGTTAATGAAAAGAAGGGAAAACATAAAGTGTCGTTTTCCTATGTACAGCTGAGGACAGTTTAGGCATGGTGATCTATTTCTTTCGTTTCTTTCTGATTATTTTTTCAGGGAAAAAAAACTTGACAATTGTCATAATAATTGCACAATGATAATGTTCACCCTTTAAGGATGGCTGTCAAAGATGCGGCACTGTGCATGCCATTAGCATCCAACTTCGAACACAACGCCGCTCGTTGATCTCGAGGAGCTCAATGTTGCTTTCATTGATGAGGAATATATTTTGTTAAGGGAAGAAAGGGGGAAATTGCAAAAAAAAAAAAAAAGATTTTGGAAATAAAAAAATTACAACCAAGATATTATTATTATTTTTGACAACAAGTGATAAACAAATGAAAAGTTTTTATGAACACGTACTTGTATACAATTTTTCAATTATCAAAGTTTTTTTTTGTGATTTTCTAAAAAAAAACTAGTGACTAATTTCTCTGGCCACTCTAATGAAAATATTATAATAATAATAATAATAATCAGATACGCTGGCAAAAAATTACGTTTAAAGCACAACAAAATGGTTGCCTTTTGTTTTTGGTCCGAGAAAGAAATCGCGGTCACTGGGGAGTGGTATCACGGGGGAGTCCTTATCGTGGGATTAGGTTGGCGGAAAAACCGGAGAAGAATGGAGAGATTTTGGGAAGCTTGTCCATGATCAGAGGAAGTAGATAATAGCCCCCAAATTCAAATGTGAACTGCTCTTCTTGTACATATATTCCTCTTGTTTCGTTTATAAAGTATTTTATTTCATATAAATCAAAAAAATTTTAAATTTTATTAAATTTTAAATAAAATTTAATAATTTATAACTTTATTCCTATTTAATATAAATTATATTTTAAGTAAACAAAGTCAACACAATAATAAATGTGGGGTAAAATTATATATCTATGTAAAAAATGTCTCTCAATACCTTATAAATATGATAAAAAAGTATCTCCTCTCTCTATCTTATAAATAGGGTAAGAGGAGTAAATAACATGACGTAAAATTCAGGCCCTTCCATTCTCAGCATTCCAGATCAGCTGTGGGATTTTCGTTTCCTTGCGTTACTGGCGAACGTAACCTAACTTGCGTTTATTTCTTCTTCTTTATTTTGACTTTTTTGTTGAGGCGGAGTGGATAACCATTCAGCAGCAAGTGACGTAAAATCTCAGTGATTCGAATCAGTGTCGATTTGAGATTAAACCAGTTATCAGTAAAAGAATGTTCAAATAAAAAAGCTATTAATTCACACATTCATCCACAAACTACATATAATTCAATAAAATAAATTTATTAACATATAAATATGATGGATTGTTAAGCTCAACAAATTTTTCAGCCTCAATAAGAAAATTAAAAAAAAAAATCCAATCTCGTCTTTAGACCCCGACTCATTAGGAAACTAATTTACCAACTAACTAATATGATGAGTGAGTTGGATTAGGTAGCGTGATGGGATAAAATCCAAGCAGAGTTACAATCAAGTGATTTACGTTGCCGCTTTCGTTAAAAATACGTTATCCTCATCTCTTACTGGTACCATGCCTATGATGCGTTAACAATTCACCTTAAATTCGAACCCCCCCCCCCAAAAAAATGTTTAATATATAACGTAGATAAACATCAACATAAAATAAGGCTTTCCACTTTCCAGATCAAAAGGGGAGCAATGAGCACGCTGTTAAAGATAAAGAAAAGGCAACAAAACAGGGACGATAGATGAAATCAAGAGAAAGGAGGTTCGGCCGCTTGTGAGCATTTGATATCCACAACTTTAAACTTGAATAAGTTTTGACGGAGACATTTACGCTCGCTACCAAAAAGAAAATATTCTATTGTATTTTTATTATAAGTTTTAAATAACTAATTCACAGATAATAAATAATTAGCAGTTAGAAGTATGCTTTTTTTTTGCAAACATAAATTAGTTGAATCAATTTAATTAACATATGAAAATGATGCAATTTTACCTTATAAATAAAAATCGAAGGAATAGAAGTAATTGAGAAGAGGACGGGACTGGAGACAGCAGGCGAGCCGCCAACACACGCGCCAGCGAAGGATTAGATCCCACCAGGCCACCATTACCCCCACCCCTTTTATATTTTTTTCACCTTCGTTTTGATCTTTATCAATTTAATTTAATTTTACTTAAAAATTAGGCCCAAAGAAACTTACTTAATTCACTATAAAAATTTATAATGATAATAATCATTTTTGGCAACATTGGAAGCCATTAAAAAAAAACACACACACACACAAATACCTATCACCAATAGAATGGAAGGGGCAAGTTTTTTTCCCCCCTCACCCTTTTTAACGGAAAAAGCCAAGTTCCACTCAGTCATGATTACTTGAAAGTGAAACTCTGGATTTGTTTACCACCTTAATGTAATATAAGAGTTTACTTGATTTTCAATTTGGTCCTAAATATAAGATCCTAATATACTTTATCTTTCATATTTATTTATTTATTTTAAAATAGTTTTTGTAATAGTTACATATGTGAAAGGTTTCATCAAATGATAATTCTAACTAATATATATGGCTAGTAAGGATATTCTAAAAAAGACAATACTTATTCATAACAAATAACTAACTTAACTAATTTTTTTAATCTCTCTAAATTAATCAACTAGATTTTATATGAAAAACCGGAGGTACATAAAATATAGGAGTCAATAAACTATATATTAAAAAACAGACACAATACTCTTAAAACCTTTAACTTAATATTATGTGATTAAATTTTTTATATAATTTTATGATAATTAGCATTACCAGTCAAATTTATACATTATTCAACTTAGTAAAAAAAAAAATCGGTTAATATTGATTTTGGTTTAAAAGTCCATGGAAAAAGAAAACGAAAACGAGACCATCCGATAATAATACTGTGTGTCTAAGTCCGAGAAATAATGATCATTCATGGGATTCTCAAACTTTATTTTCCTAAAAAGGTTAAAAGCAATTAGTCATGCCAATCAAAGTGATCCCCTATTGCGCTTTTACCAAATATTCGGTGATATCCTCTGTCATATAATCCCGAAAAGTTCGCTTCCCCTTTCTTTTTTCTTAATCTAAATCTATCCATCAATTTGACCATTTTACCAATGAATACATACTTGCATGATCGAAATCCTTCCCCGGTTGCAAGAAACTCTTTTTTTTTTTTTTGGTTCAGTACCATTCTGGTTACAAGAAGAACATGGCAACACATGACTCCACAAAAAAAAAAAAAACCCACTGGTTTGAGATAAATCTAATATTTGCCACTCTAAACTACGTTGATCCTATCATTTGTGTAAAAGTGAACAAGTATGCCTCAGGAAAAAGCCAGACGAGAGATTTGGCAAGGAAAAAAAGCCAGACGAGAGAAATCAGAAAGAATGAGAAATTGAAGAGAGTTAAAAAGAAGTAAATGATGATTACAAGTTTGAAGTTACCATTATGTGCTCTTACAGGCATAGATCAACAAGGAGAATTCCACTCCATCTTTCTCCTTCCGTGCCATCTTCTCTTCTAACCACAATCTGCTGTCCATTCCACTTCTAGTTCTGAACATGAACACCGCAAGCCCAGAAACAGGATTGAAAAACCAGTCATGAACATCCCATAGCAGATCCACAAGCAACCCATCGACGAAGATCGTCTGGTTCCCCCTGAAATTCCATTGCAGCCTCTTCACTCGAATCACAGTCTTCTTATCTATACAGACTGACAATACTGGAAACTTCAATCCATCGTTTTCTCCGCTGCACTTGATCAAAATGTCGTGCCAAGACCCTGTGTCGCAGAACCGCGCCTTCGTCGTGTAAAGGGTATTTCCAGAACAATGTTCTCGCCGAGAGATTAGGGAGACTTTAGCTATTGAGGGATTGGCTTTGAGCTTCTTTGTCACTGTTTCTTCTCGCACATCCCCGAGAAGTAGGCCAATTTCCGAATCTATGAGGACTAGAATAGAGTACCCATCAACGGGTTCGGGGCCAGATTCGTATTTAGCATTTGAAAGATCCCATATGATTTCGATCTTTGAGTCGTCAGATTCGAGAAACTTGCTTCCTTTCTTCTTCCTGAAGAATCGTGAATTTGTGTTGAGTCTGAATGCTGCAGCTGCAATTGTAGGGTCCTCATCTCCGAAGCTCAAGCTAAATCCTTGATTCGAGTGGGTTCTACACCATGTGACTGTGATTATCAGCTGCTTCTGCGTAGAGAGGACGATTTTGTAGACGCAGGAGACTGAATTTTGGGTTGAAGGTGAGAGAGTGGGCGAGATGCAAGCATTTTTGGAATAGCTAGAACATGAAGAATGAGATACACCAACTGCGTTCTCGCTGAAACAAGAGACCAAGTCTCTCATTTTGCAGAAAACTCGTAAAGATCTGAACTTTTGGAGAAATGAGTCCCTTGGGTTGTTTCGGTTGTTCAGAGATGAAGAGTTCCAAGGTTGAAGAAGGCGATCGCTGCATTTGAAGAGTTCAGGTCAAAAAAGAAAAACAAGAAGAAGGCGTTCGCTGCATTTGAATTTAGATGACAATGACGAAGGGGAAGTAAGAAAATGTGATAGTGAAGAGTGGACCAATAAAATAAATAAAGGCCCAAAGAGCCACCAACTCCTATCCCCCCCCCCCCCCCAACACATGATGAGCGATTAAAAGCAGGCCCCCATAATACATTATCTAGTGACTTTCATTCGCAAAAATCAAAGAAAGTATTTAATGTCAGAGCGTAGCTATCTTATTTAGTGCTTCCAATTATGCTACGTTCATTAATTAGTGATGGTATAGGGGAAAAAAGCATGAAAATGTTAGAAGTAGTGCTGGCTCATGAATTATTAAAGCTTTGGTCAACACTCAACAGTTACATTCTTTAGTGCCTTTTTTTAAACAACCAAACTAGAGCAGAATCGAAAAACAGGGCGGCACAGAGAATAATTGGGAGAAGGGGAAAAAAAAGGGATTGCGAAGGGAGGGGACAGAAAATTAGGGAGGATGAGGCAGCATTTGAAACCTCAAATTGAATGTGTGTGGGGAGAGGAACAGGGGATAAAAGAGGATTTTAAATAAAAAAAATAATTAGAGAAGCAGTTATTAACTGCTTAAGATTATAAACAGAATCCAACTCGAAAGTTCCCACTTACGCCAAAAAAAAATCTAAAGAAATATTCATGACACTTAAACTACAAGGCAGTTGGCAAAAAAAGCATTCAAATGAAGAATCTATGATAGACAAGCAGAACAAACAGCAGAGACGAAGGGGAATCAGTACGGTGAGTGGTGAAGTGAGTGTGAGAGTGGGAAGCCATTGTGGGCATGAGACGGGACACATCAATAGCGGCCCCGCCCCCAAATAGATATACCCTTTTCCTTCAATAATCATATTACGAATCCAATCCATCTGCCTTTTCCACAGTGCCCTCTCCCTCTTCTCTCTAGACCACCATCCCCATTCATTCACCAACTGTACTTAGAGCCTCCATCGCCTCATCTGTTCCAAATGCCATCATATACTGTCTTTTCCCAAGCTGTTTGTCCCATCGCGGTTCTTTTCAAAATTATTGAATGAGTACGACCAAAGCTACACCTTGATTAAAATTATACAACTCTTACTCTATGCACGTATATGATGACAACTTTGTAAATTATTTAGATCCATCAGTTAATTTGATCGTAATTTGAATACAAGGGGGAAGCGAGAAGACATGCTTGCTTTGAGTTTCGACAACAACATTTTTAACTTCCCCCGCATATGATAGAACAGAAAGATTCGTTCCAAGTCAAAGTACATGTGTTCCATTCATTCGTAGCCACGAATGCAGCAAATTCCGGGCAGGCCCCTGGCAACTATAGCTAGCCTGTCTTCTCTTGTCTTGGATCTTCCCCTTTTGGAAGTTCCTATACCACTACACATCTATTTATGGAGGGGACTTGCCAATGCTTAATACGATTCAGACGTCAAAATGTTGATTCCAAGTTATAATCCTTTCTTTAGCCCATCCAAACTTGGCAGTTTCTTTATTCATTTAGTTGCACTCAGTTCTTGAGAATCTTATGCCAGTCAGTGCCTTTGAAGATGGGTTGGATCCCATTGGTTCGCGATATTAATCTAAAAGTGCACACATATAAACAAGAGGAAGGAATTGTTGTGTGTTGGCAGTATGCAATTCCGAGAAATTCTGTCTCCAAACAAACACCCTTTTTAATTGACAAAATTAGGACAAATTCGCATTCAAACTTGTGTGCCGTACTGTTTCTTGGAACTCCAGGGAACAGCTCATAAATAAAGGCTTCGAGGGGAATCCAAACGGTTAACCTTCCTCCACAAGCAATATTAGAAAGTGCATCTTAACAAGTTGCTACTCACGGCAAAAAAAAAAAGAAAAGAAGACTTGCAAACCTTGTGGTCAGCTGTTTCTCAGGCGATACTTCATAATGATTAATAAGCATCACAGATCAGTCACACATGCCACGACTTGGGACAAAGATTTAAGTGTGCCCATTGTTTTGACGTAATTTCTTATCACAACTTGGAGGGGAAAAAAAAGTAATTCTATTAGTTATTAAACTGCTGTCAAAAAGTAAGCTGAGTTAAGAACAAGTAGTTCGCATGGTTCATCCATGAGGAACGTTTTTAAATTAATATCTCATCCACTGAATAATACAGTGGAACTGTGAATTCTGATCCGTGTGGTTGTTGTTGAACAATGTTAGATTATTAACGCCAAGTCACATGAATACTAGTAGACTTGTAACAATATTAGAATTTCATTGAATACCCTTCGGTTTCAAATTATAGTACTCATCAATGCCTATCTTTATGGCTGAAGGTCTCAAATTCAGGCAACATTTCCCCCAGAAAAGGGGGTGGTGGATCCTGGAGGCAGCATCCGAGAGTTATTTCTCCCCTTCTTCTGAAAAAGAATCATTTTTATTGATATTCAAAACAATATAAAAAGTATCTAGAAGCACAAAAAAATAAAAAAAGTGTACATATAGTAGAACCTATTGAAACAAAAGAACAACTGTAAATCCTGTACTAAAACCCATATCAGCGGACAAGTAAACCTGCATCAGTATCTCCTGAAAGGAAAAATTAAAATAGGTTGATAAGAAACGCACTTTTCTAGGCATTTTCTTCATATTAACGTAGCTTGAGTTACACTCTTGCTAGTGATCACAAGCTTAGTGGCATCATGATTATATTAAGGCACTGTTTTCTAACTTTTAACTCTGAAAAAGAGGGAATTCAGAAACTAGCCATGTAGAATCATCGCTGTCAAGTGCAGTAAACTAATAAGAGGAGCCAGCAGAATAATTGGCTTTTGGTCAGAATTAGATTTAAAGGATGTTTGGTTGCATCTGCAAATCTCATATACCATCATTCTCTTTCAACAGCAAATTAGATCTTCCCTCTTTATATGAAAATGTCGGTACATGTTTCATTCTTCAACCAACCCAGGAATGATAACAACTATTTTCAATTTCTGTTCTTTTGAAAGATAAATGATAACAGATAAAGGGCAAAGCAAAATCCAAAGACAAAGCCAAGGTGCCCAAACTCTCAAACTGTTTTTTTATTTTTACTTTTAGCCAAGATCCATGTGAAGCGGGTCTTCCTCACACTGCCGACAGCTTCATTAAATGCACACAATATAAAATAATTTAACAAATAAAAGTAAAACGACATCTCATCTACTTAAGTATGTGCGAATCTAATCTTTTTTAACGTAAAATATTATGATTTCATTATACAGAATCGAAATACAACGAGCAATGGAAGAATCAAGAAAACCTCATCAAAACAACTACCAAAAGGACCAACGAAAGCAATTTACCACCCACATAAAGATCAGACAAATATCTGATGCCAATTACCCTGCAGGTGAAATAACAAAGGTACTGTATGTTCAGTTAATGAATGAATGGTTGTTTAAGAGACATTTAACAAACACGTTCAGACTATGATGGGATTATTAAGTTGCTTCTTGCAGTTTGGTGGGGGCGATTTTCTAGTAACAGGAAATTGAGTTAATTGACGAAAACGACACTTAGAATTGATGCTTTCCTCCCCACAGTTTCTCTCACAAACCATCATGAAGACAAAAACTATATTATCATGTGTGCACACCAAACAACTCCCTTCTTTATAAATATCACACATGAAGCCATTGACTTCTTATGAATTGGACTGATAAACCTATCTCTAGTTAGGTGTAAGAGGCTTCAAAATACCGGTATAAGACATCATGTGCTGGTCAGATGAGAATAGGTAAGGTTGTCGCATTGAACTGCAGCTGCGTGTTATCTCTTGTGCTGTTTTTTTCCCTGCTTGCTGACTCGGATCTTAACAAAAAGCCAAAAAACAAAAAAGGCCTAATTAACTCGGACCAACCAAATGAATCAAGCCTAAATAAATCGAGTAAGTTTTTGTGCCTCTGCTCCTTGTGACCGCAAGTTTTTTATACCCTGTTTAATTCGGTTCAGTCACTCTTACCAGGTTTGGTTAAACTTGGTGATCTGAAAACCTCACTTTCAGGAGTAGCATATTAACCAGACCCAATTAAAATTTGAGTCGGGCTTCATACTTAAGCCCGCAAGTCTCTTTTGATGGGGAAAACCCACAAGCGTCGTTTTCGGGAAACTTTAGCCCAGTGTGATGCCCCCCAAAAAAAAGAAGAAGAAGCCCATTTTGGGGCACTAAAAATCCGGGCGCCAAACTGTGCTTTCATACGGATTCGTGCTCGCGGTTCCCTGTTTTAGCATTTCGTGCTCGTGGTTCCCTGTTTTCGCATTATGAATTCGTATGAGTCGATTGGTTATTTAACTTTAATAATTACTAATAATAAATTGTACTACCAATGAGGGTTGGGCGTAGCAGGGGACTAGTCTCTTAAAAAGTAGCGAATCAAGGTTTGAATTCTTAATGAGATAGGTATCTACATTTAATACTCGATAATGTCTCGAATAGGATTGTTTCAAATAGAAAGATACTTATGTTTTAGAAAAAAAATTATACCTTATTATACATATACACACAAATAAATCGAGAGGCGGCAAGAAGTAAAATAACTTTATACGGCTTCCAATATTCTTTTGGTATTATTAAGCCATTAGAAGAAGAAAGTAAAAATAATAATTAACAATAATGGAAAGGAAGCGGGGACAGCGCGAGGGGCAATCGCTTTCGTCCCCGAAACGGCTAGCTGGGGATCAGACAGGAATCAGAAATGGACCTCCAAAAAACTAGCCGTTGCTTGCTCCACCTGCTTTCTTCTTCTCTCTGTTTTTGTTTCTTGTTTTTTGTATTTTCCCCCCCAGTAATTAGAAAATGAGAAAAAATGGGGGCAGATAATTATGGCTTCCGCGATAAGCTTGTGAGCGAGTCCCACTTCCACTCCGTCGTCCATCTGTCAACAGTACCTTGCGCCCCCACACTCACTCATTTCACTTTTTATTACTGCCGCCGCCCTAACCAATAAGAATTGTATTTATTTTTTTATACAAAGAATAAGAATTATATTTAATCTTAAATATAATATCTCAATTTAT